GGGGGGGTGGAGGGAAGGAAGGGATACCAAAAGTAACTAAGTATCACCGTGTTTAGTGGAAAATGTATGAGCACAACCGAACGAAGTCTTCATATTTACGGTACTAATCCCAAAGCAACTCAGGTCTCGATCCTCATAAAGCTTAAAACTTGTATTGAAAACTTATCTTAATAAGACTGTATTTCCACAACTCGCCTTAAAATCGAAACCCCTGAAAACACACGAAGAACGAATTTTCACATGTAGATCTTAAACTTTTTACATTTATTTTAAATCGCTCTAATTCACTAATTCCTTGAAAAAAAAATCAAAACAAACCGTGAATTCTGCAAAAATATTTTATAGCTAAAAACAAAGTTAATGTTTCATTTTAGCATCTGTTTTGTCGTGTGCATCATGCTTATATGCATCATGCTGTTACCGCAAGTCTTATAATGATTTACAGTCAAATTGAAATGAACTATTTGAGTGCACTCGACTATTTCAAAATGACTGAATCATAATGGCTTTTTGCTCTGTCATCTTCCAATATCACTTACAGCAAATTAATTGCTAATACCTCTTTATTTGGAGACGTCTAGTGGTGATAAAAAGCAGCCGCAAGCTATTAGTTTCAAGAGGATGTAAAACATGCGATGACAGCATTAAAGTTTTATGAGCTACAGGCTACAGGTTATCACTTACTTAAAGAAAAGTTTTCTTTTATAATTTCCTCCCGTCTCTGGAAGATTAAAGAAGCCTGAAGGAGCACTGAATTGATTAGAAACATTACGCGTTAGAGAAAAGACGACGGTAGATCTTCAATTTTTCCCACGATTTTATTTCTATAGCTAAAGCTGTGGCAACCGGTCCGCTGGCACTAAAAGGATATAATGAAATTTTTCCGTTGAGATTAACTGTGTGGATATCAAACCAACAGAGGAACTGAGTATCTACACCAGGAGCAACTTCGCTTTGATTTGGTTCTCTTTAACGCTACAGATCATAATATGAACTTCACCGATAGGGGCAATGGCGATACAGAGTCTTCTCACTTAAACGAAGAAAATGAAAGAATTATAACTATCATAAACTCTGCGCTAAACGTTCCATTGATACTGACATCAATTTTAGGAAACGGTTTAGTCGTGGCCGTCATAGTTAAAAATCGCAGTCTTCAATCTCCATCCATGATTTTCCTGTTCAGCCTGGCGCTATCAGACCTTCTTGTCGGTTTGGTTGCACAACCTCTTTACATCGCGAACACCTTGACAACTAACATTTATTTTTTAAAACTTGCAACAGGTATGATGGCCTTTTTCGTCTGTGGAGTGTCACTGGATACCGTAACAGCCATTAGCGTGGATCGCCTAATGGCGCTAACGTATCACCTTAGATACCCGAGCTTGGTGACTCCGTGTCGCGTAAGGTACACTACGGTGCTGATTTGGTTGTCTAAAGTCCTTACTTCCAGTCTTTACCTTTGGAAGATGCGCGAATGTCATTTCGTAGTTGCCTTTACCACTGTAATGTGTCTCTTGATTTCAACATTTTCTTACCTAAAGATCTATGGCATCGTTCGACGCCACAGGTTGCGCATTGACGCGCAGCAACTGGCGGTCCGAGGCAATTGCAGCCCAGAAAACGTTGCGCACATGGCGCGTTTGAGAAAAAGTGCATTGAACATGTTTGTGTTCTACATTGTCTTGATTTTATGCTACTTCCCCATGTATATATTATCCACTCTACATGGAGCTTCTCTCTTGAATTGGGAAACCAAATGGGACTTTGCCCACACTGCCGTGTTCATGAACTCGTCCATTAACCCAGTTTTATACTGCTGGCGGCTTCCCGAACTTCGAGAAGCAATTGTAAAGATGTTACGTAAGATATTCTGCGTTCAAACACATCAAAACTGAATAGTAACATTTGCTTAATTTATCGATAGTCAATCTCTACTCGATTATATTTGTTCCTCCTTCTGCTAAACCACTGATTGATAGCAAGTCTTATTTCATAAATGTACGTCGAATATGGCGGCTTAAATTTTCATGCGAAATATAGGGAGCGTAAAACCAGCGAGAACGCTTTATCCTCTTAGTATAACTGAGATAGCATTTAGGTTACTTTGCAAAGGGTTTAATTTTTGTAAATTTTGCGGAGTGTTCTCGATCCTCAAGGTTTCAGTTTTAGCGGCAAATGAACTCCCGCAGAACAAATCGCAAATCGCCGTAAAAAATATCGCCACTTTCGGTCCTGTAGGCAAAACTAAAACATCAATTAGTAACGGTCGTGTTCTTGGTGTGATTTAAATCGTGCGAAAACAAAAACACTAAAAATTAATTTTTAGATGAAAAAAAAACAAAGTTTACCAAATATTTACCTTTAAAAACAAAAATACGCGGTTAAATGGAATTCAGTGAAAAGTTTTTAACCGTGCAACTAACCACAAAAGATATTTAAAAGATAAAATCATTCCTTCTCTGAATCCTCCCGCGCAAAATTTCTTCCGCTTGGATATCGGAGGAATTAGTTCCCTATCCAAAATTCAGTGTTCTCGATTAGGGAATATGTTATTCCGCAAAAAAAAAAAATATTTATATATCGTTAGTAAACGACATAAACTCCGCGCCACACAATTTGCATGACACACGCTATGAATTACATTGCAGGTTGGCTTGAGGCTTTATTCACAGTTAGAAACATCTGTTGGGGCTATCATTAACACAATATACAAAACTTTTTAAAATTTCTTGTATAGAATTTTTAGAAGAATAGAGTTAAGCAGCAAGCATTTATCCTTTTAGCACAACTAGGCTTTTGTTCAAGTTAAAGTTATAGTTTGCTTCAGTTAGTAGATATGGGAGATGATATTGTCAAGCGTATTTGATTTACATGAAACGCGCCATAATTGCTTGTGCAAAATAGGAACAAATTAAGGCATGAGGTAAAATTTATCTTCTGAATAGAAACAAGTTTGTTCCGCAAACAATAAAGTCAGCCCGGTGGATTTAAAAGTCGTCGATATATCGTCTAGTTTAATAAGTTAATATGGCTTGAACACCAATAATATATTGTGCAAAATGTAACCGCAAATTAACGGGTAGAAAAGCATTTATCCTCTAAGAATAAAGAAGTTTTATTCTAGTAGTAAAGTTATCTTAAATAGAGTATAAGACGCTGCAAACTTATGGTTGAGAGTTTCAATTTTAAAACCATTAATTATTTTGGAGCAGTAAATTCGAAGTTGCAGCTGGGCACACATTTATCATATAAATACAAACGAATTTAATTAATGCTAAATATTAGTTCACCCCAAGATAGCTATCGGGTGCTTCTATCCACTATTTTAATTATTTAGATCAAGAGAACGTAAACTCTCATGACTCTCTTGATTTAGATATAGAGATATAGAGCGTAGATCATTTCAAAACGAAGTAGCGGATCAGGAAATATATAATTTTTTTTTTATGAAAGCGCTTAAGTTGTTTTCAAAGTGTTAAAAGATGTTTCGAAATGTTTGGTCGAATGCACGGTGATGCAACAGAAAGCAAAGGTTTTTCTGTCAGTTCCGAGGTTTTATGATTCAAATGTGTAGTTCCACTTGATTTAATCCCCTAAAGAGAGGAAACAGAGCAAGAAGTTAGAGAAAAGAGATGTGATGAGGAACATGATATCAGCTGCGATTATTATGTAACTCCAGGCTGAGATTATCAAATAACTCCAGGTGCTGACAATTTCTACCACATCCTGAAGGTTCATGCTTCGACAAATAATGATAAAAAACAAAACAAACAATATCACTATTCATCTAAATTTATTGACCAGCTCCTCGCAATGACTTCTTGCAACAATTGGTTCATAGTTGGTATCCAGTTATCGAAGTGGGAGTTTACATTTTTAAAACGTCTCGTTTATAACCTCAAAAACGAAACGAAGCGAAATTAGAGTCGTTTTTTTGACTACGCCAAAGGTGGACCGACTGGATGTCGGATTTGATGAAAATAATGTGGATCAAA